AAGTCCTTTGCCCGCTGTGATGCAGCCACCACAGATGACACATAGTGAGTTGTTCAACTGAGTGGTTGCGCAGCCAAGAAAGAGACTGTAAGTTCCAAATTTCCTTTCGTAGGCTGTTCTGAACGCAAAACTAAGTATGCCGCTAGATATATTATTCCTGAACTGAATTCTCGTATATCTCATAGAGCTTTTATTATCATTGTTCATGATTGAGTTTCCAGTGAAACGTAGGACCTGAGCTGCATTTCTGAGTATCCTTCAGTCCTTTTTAGTGGGCTCTTGAATCGATCCAATGCTTTTATTTTCCCCCGTATAATATCCTCCATATTAACACTGGACACCAAACTGGTGACTCCTAATTCGAGTTACACCGGAGGGCCTGTCCCGTAATAGTCTCCTCAGGTAACATCCTAAATACCTCTGCTTTTTCCTGCAAATTTGTTAGACAATATGTTCTTGGTTAGTCAGGTGCCAGATATCGTTTTCGGCTGGCTAAGACTTTCATCTTCAGTGGCAGGCAAAGTGTGCAGATGTTGATTAAAGTTTTTAACTTGTTGAAAATGACTTTGTTTTACTCAAAGGTTTCTAGCTTTGGAAAAACAGTGATATAATACCAGTGCTGAAAATTCGTGTCTTGTCCCTAAAATTCGATCAGAATACTCCTATACTTATGTAAGAGTAACAAGGGTTTGTACTACTTCCTGATCCTGAGTGCCTCCTAAATCGTTATCCGTTCTGACTTTAGTTGAAACGATGCTGACTGGGCGAGTGAAAGACTTGACTAGTTTAATATACCTCCCGTCAACGGGGATAACGGACATTTGTCGTTGCATGGATTTTCAGTGGCACTACCGCGACTGTTTGTAGATTCTCTGGATCGGTATTGTCCCACATTTTTTGGTTTTCCTGAACAGCCAAACTATTTCTTCACCAATCCAATATTAAAACATGTGATATTCATTCTGTGACCGAGGAATTTCAGTTGTCTTCGTAACTAGGCATTTTTAAGCCCCTTAATAACGCAAAATAATTATTCGAATTTACCCGCACAGCTGGGAGTAGAACAACAAGCCGAGTTAGTGACAGTCAAAACGTTTGCCTTGTGATTCGTATTGCAAAAGACTTAGCGAATATCTGCACAGCCTTGACAGTTACATATGATGTCACTATATATACTTTTCATAATGTTGTCTGCCACACATTCAGCTGAGAAGGGCATAATATCCGGACTTCGCGTGTCCGCTGCAGTAGACCAAGTGAAGTGCTAGCATTTCTCACAGGCTTGTTAATCCTGTTTGATTTACCTTTTTTGCTAGGAATGGAAGCAGATAGTGAAGTAAGGCGGTCAGGTTGGGTTACTGACAATTTAGAGAGTTTAAACGCTTATATACAAGGGAATCGGCAAAGTATCTATAAGCTCGGTTTTGGAGTATCCCTGAATTCAATTCTCTTCTGATATATGAATTTTAGCACTTACTACTATAGAAATATGAAATTAAAGTATGAAGATACTCTATACAAATAATGTAAATGGAAAGGTGCGATAACGGGAAAAATTAATTAGACAGTAACCAAGAAAGAAAACCCTAACAAAGGAGGCTATATTTCATGAAATAATCTGAATAAATACCCAATTCTACCAGTAGGAGACCTATTTAAAAGTCTGTTATAGAAATGAGGTATTGAGGAATACCACGCGGAAAGTAACGAAACCGTCTATTGATTTTAGCCTCCATGTGCAGCTGTTGTCCTGGTTTTATCTCTACAAATAAGGGTCACTTAGGTCTCATTGGTCCGTCTTTAATAAAAAGCGTTGTTCGTTTCGACTATCGTTTTTAACTTGACCATAACAAACTCCGCACAGGCAACTAAACAGTAACGAGGATGCTAACCCCACGGAACATCAAGATTACATTGCAAAACCAACGCGCGAAAACCTCCTGGGTACATTTCAAATTACCCCGGCTATGGTACTTGTAAAATTGGGAAAGTTGGCTTCGGGAAAGTCTTCAGGTTGTGATGACATCAGACCATCCGTCCCGAAGCAGTGTTCAGAAAGTCTCTGCCAACCCCTAAGTGATCTGTTCCAACACTCCCTTGATGTAGGGAAACTTCCATGTGAATGGAAACGAGCAATCCTATCCCCTATCTTCAAGGGTGGTGACCGGCAGAATGCCACCAGTTACAGACCAGTTGCTCTACTTCCAGTGATTTCAAAAATATTGGAAAGTCACATTGACGACCACATGAGAAAATACTTCGACGGGACTAACCTCCACGAAGCACAACATGGTTTCAGGAGGGGAAGATCCTGCGTGACGAATCTTATGCTAGCTTGGAACGATTGGACACTATCCTGGGACGAAAAGGTACCAGCCCACGTGATCTTTCTCGACTTTGCGAAAGCATTCGACACAGTTCACCATGGTCTGCTCCTTCACAAAATAAGCAAGGCGGGTGTTTCTGGAGCACTTCTCGCATGGCTGAAAGATTACTTAGGCGAGAGAGAATTCTGCACCAAAGTCAACCGCATCCGATCATCCTGGCACACCTCGGCATCAGGGGTTCCTCAGGGTTCTATCCTAGGGCCGTTGATGTTTTTGATTTTTATCAACGACCTGCTCCCTCAACTGAACTGCTCTGCGCTTCTTTACGCTGACGACGTAAAGATTTGGAGAGCAATAAACTCATCGGAAGACTCAGATAGATTGCAGGCTGACCTGCAAACTCTGGGAAACTGGGCTCTGGCTAACGGAATGCCTTTCAACCTAAAGAAGTGCAAAGTAGTGCAACTTCATTCCGGCAGGTCACAGAGTGTAAATTACACCCTTGGTGGCCAGAACTTGAGTTGTGTTCCATCAGAGCGCGATCTAGGTCTTATTCTAACAGAAAAGCTAGACACCAGTAGAAATTACTCGAGGGACGTCGCCAAAGCCTACGCAACTTACACTTTATGCATAGGCAGCTGGGAGCTCTCACTCCCGAACTGTTCTTAAGGTTATATAAGGCATATGTGAGGCCACACCTTGAGGTGCATAATATCATTGCACCTCCGCTACTCAAAAGGGATGCTAACATTCTAGAAAGTGTCCAGAGACGAGCGACAAAATGGGTGATCGGCCTCCGCAACAAATCATATGAGGAAAGACTAAAGAAATTAGGTCTCTTCACACTTAGTTACCGAAGGCACAGGGGAGACCTCATCACCGTCTTCAGATCTTAAATGACCAGGCCCACCCAAATAAAAGCATCCTGCCGTCAATTGATTATAGGCTTCCACGAGGTAACCCGCTAAGGATAGCACACCAGAGACCAAAGACTCGAGTGCGCTTACATTTCTTTTCGCTTCGAGTTTGCCGTCTCTGGAACGCTTTACCGGTGGCCGTGACTACAGCACCATCTCTGGAGATTTTTAAGCGGAAGCTAGACAATCATGCAGAAATGCAAGGTTTGTGTCTCAATGGCTTATCCTCATAAGACTTACAACAACACTATCAATGGATAAGCATACAAACTAAATCCTCACGACCTGTTCTGCCTTCTCGCACTGTACCGACTACTCTATCTTTTCCTTAGGTCGCCTTTATTGTTTTACTCATCTCAACCTATATTATCTACACTACAACCTATTATTATTATTACTATTCTGCTTTTATGACTGCACCGAATGACCAACGGGAGTTAAGCCAAACTCCATTCATGGCAGCAACACAGTCCTAACATACTGCATACTACAAACCACATCTTGACCAATCCCCGCACCACTCCTCTTGGAGTCTACCAGAGCTAAAGCAGTCGAGTGGCGGGATTTACTACGAAGAAGCTCACCGAAGATCTGGAACCTCGACCTTACAATCATGATGGGAGCTCAAAGAAATCACTGGTTTATACTAGCTCGTAATCAGGATATTCAAGGCATAGCTAACTTATCATACGAGGAAAGACTAGACAGTTTAAATCTCTTCTCACTGTCATACCATAGGTAGAGAGGAGATTTAATCACAATGTTTGGAATTTTAAATAATGACTACGGACCTGACCTATTATCTCTTTTCCTTATACCAGGTCGGAACATCTTAGAGGACACAGCAGGAGAGTTCAAAAGCCAGGAAGAAATCATATTGCTGTTGAGTACTGGTTCTCATACCGAGTTATAAACTCTTGGAACCGACTCCCAGAAGAAGTGGTGTCTGCAACCTCAACTGATTTGTTCAAGAGGGGTTTGGACAACCACAGAAATCTACTAGAAAAGGATTAGCGTAGGCTCCAAGCCTTTTATCCTCAACCAATAAATCTGAAATCTGTAATATTGGATATTGGATAATAGAAATCCGCGTTTTTGGAAGCGAACGTTACTTGGGTAACGAGTGTCTTTTAACATTTTGAACAGTTGTGTTTTTGTAGACTGCCTCAGCCAAACTCCTGGGTACGCCTAATATTAACCTCTCATATTGAATTGGTGGCTTTAAACCATAGCAGTCCATAACGCAACTACCTAATAAACAGCGTGATGACTTTGAGCAACCAGTCCGATGAGCTCGTAGAATGTAGGCGGAGTTATGGATACTGTACACAAATTATGTACCGAATTTCATATAGATCTCGTGTTTAGGTACTGCCCAGACCACAGGCTTATTGGAAAGGACAAAACGTGTAGACAACTGTCATCCCTGGACTGTATTCATAACGTGGTCATTAATACTGTCAGAGCAAGCAATGAGCTGAGATTCATGATGATTTAGTTATCTTGACTAATATACGCACAGAGATTGATTTAGCTTACCTACGAGAAGCTGGAGAGTTTCTTGCATCACACAGGATAACTTCCTTGTACTACCTCTTAACGTTTTTTTATTACAGCTTGATTCCACACTGTATTTTTGGTACAAGTATGGAATTTTCAGCGTGGGTATCGGTAGCCCAAATTTTGCAGGCCAACCATAGATATCAGGTGTGCGTCGGCGTGGGCTCGAACCCCGGACCATATGCATGGTTGGCGAGAGTCCTAACCACTGTGCCACCGATGCATTAGTTATTCATAATCGTTTTTTTCCAAATTACTCACTTCTGTTTCGGACGTGCCTGATTAGTCGATAGGGATTTGTCAAGGTATTTTTCAGGCAGTTTTGTTTTGGGCTCCTATAGTTTAATGTTCAGAGGGTCACTGATGATTCTTCTGTTTGGTGTACCAGTCATCGGAATTCATTAATCCTTTTCTTCTCGGTTGATGTGGTCACAGTTTATTTGGCCAACATTCATTCCTATATTAAGTATAGTGTAATTTCGGTTCTCTAGAGAATTTCGACAAGTCTGCTGGTTTTGTCCCAAATTTTAGGGAATTCTTCTGGATAGGAAAGACGTTGGGGACATCACTCGTACCAAATTCCCATGAAACTTCATGAACTCTCTTACAAATTGCCGCGCCTGGGCAGCGATGATTCGAGACGTTCATGAAGCCGGCTCATCCTCCCGTAGGAGATAGCCGAAGTAAAGTAAAAGTAAAGTAAGTAAAGACGTTGCCATACATTCTTGTTTTTATTAATATAGAAATTACTATATTATTAGTTTACTTGGTGTAGACGGGTAGCTAACATATCATGAGGTTCGGAAACACTCGGGGTTGGTTAGTAAAATTTGTCATTAATGCGTGACGTTATAGTCGTTTTGCCACGCATAGGGGGAATAGATTGCTGGATTGGAGTCCTCAGCATGATAAGGACCAATATTTGGAGATAGTTGGCGACATGGTTCAGAATAGTGTTCAATGAAAAGGAAACACTAAGTCTGTAGTTTCCCAGATCCCCATGTCTTTCCTCGGTACTATTCTTTCTCCCTTACATTTCCGCTCATTTAAGCCTTCCTCATTCTTTTTTAACTTTGTGTGCTTCATAAAGTTCTGCAACCTGAATTGCTGCACTCTGTGGTATGTTCTTTGTGGAAACAACCAATAATTAAACGGTTACTAATCTAAATCACGGCTGAGCAGTAGAACTTAATCATTTGACTTTTGGTGATAAATCTTTGACTAGGATAGCCAAGGTAATGTTTATTGCATGGCACCGTAATGTATTTCCATTACACTAGTGTAGATCTTCGACAAGAATGGAAAATAACTATCCTGTGATATTATATGTATATATATCTATCCCAAGCTTACAATAATGCTTAATTAGATCTCGCCAACTTTGAAGTAACCCTAAAATTCTGTAATGGGTAAATTCTGAAATGGTTTTATTATGCGCCCAGACTAGAACCCATTGCTGGTTTTCAGCAAGACTGGAACTAATTCAGCCCCCTGTTCTTTTTCTAGGCATTTTCAGAAGTGGCTCAGAACCTAGTGGGTTTGCTAATCAGCGTTGTTTCAGCCCTCTCAGCCCAGATTCATCACTGATTGGCATTAGTTCAGAACACTTCTTCAGCTCTATTTCAGCACTGAAGGCGTTATTTCAGCTGCAAATCCTATTTTTAAGGTTTCGTCGACTAAACTAAGTCCCCACTGCTCTTTTTAAGAACGACCACAGTCATTTTAGTACATAGTGGATTCATTTTAGTTAGATAAAATATCTGTGTACCCCATGAAAAGGCATTATCGACGCATAGGTTTGAATTAGTTTAGAATTATTGTAAGCTTGGGTACTAAAATGCTGACGTTTTTAAAGAACATATTCACATATCCCTGCCACCATCGTAATTGTAGTAGTTTTTCCCCATAAAAATTTCATTCCACGAGTAGTGTACATAAAGCAGACGATATATAGTGTTCTCTCATTGACACTAGACATGGAGTTCGGAATGTACATAGGTAATTTGAAGCCATTGGTTCATTTATGTTGAATATCCGTGATCCTAGCAACTAGGGTAGAATTTTTAGTAGTTTATGTATAGAAGTACCGTATACAATTGCCTCAACTTATATTAATTATTGATGTCTAGTCTCAATTTAAGTGATAATAAGATCACTGAACGAACTGTTATATAGCCATTCATTACCTGAAGTCTTTATGTTCATTTAGTTTCTTTAGTTTAATACAGAGCTTTTTGTCGTTGTAGCAGACCGTCCTTGTTTCGAAATTGGATTTCCTGCAGGGATTTCTTTTATGTCAATCCAGTTTGCATGAATGGTAGAACAAGAGCATGCGTCAAAAAATCTTCCTGTCCTTTTTTGCAAAAACGGTCAGGCATTTTATGCAAGCACTTGGTGGAGTGTAGTAATCCGTTCGTTGCATTCGATCATATAAGTGTGTCGTCATTAGTTTTTCGTTATTGTTACAGAAGTTCAACGAAATGATTCAACAAGCTTGCATTCGCATATCGGTGTTCAGCTTATTACCTACTTGGTGGATGGGGTTTTCAAAACTCCCGTTTCTTCATGGAACTCTCCTACACTAGAGTTTACTAGGTTTGAGTCTGAATTGTGTCATATGGAAACATTTGTTAATGATGTTAATCACGACTCAGCAGAATTATTTAAAGTTTGGATCCACTGCAAACCTTCTGTATCAATGGATTATTCACACCATGGTTCACAACTCTATACATTAGATGATTTTACCGTATTACGAAAGGAGGACAATAGCGCTGAGCTGCGCATACTTTCGGGTTCAGTTTCAGGTAATTTTCCTTTTCCTTTCCAATTTTCTTATCTGTTATATTTCCTATTCTAAAATAAAGAAATTGGTCTTTTTATTATTATCTTGTGCTGAGCGAAATCTGGATAGTATCTATGTGAATTATACGCTCAATTTGATGCGGGTTTATTAGTTTTTTCTCATATATTCTTTTTGTTTGTGGTATGTCGTCGGTGGCACAGCGGTTGGGACGAACGCCGACCATGCACATGGTCCCGGGTTCAATCCCTCGGCCGACGCACTCCTTAACCTCGTTAAGCCAGAAATAATGCTAGTAAAGAGGAAAGGTTGGGCATGAGGCTAGCAACCCCATCCTGTAAAACTTAAACACTGCTACAGAAACTTCAAGCCACTAGCTTGGAGCCCTATGTTCCACTTGGAACGTGAAGGAAAAATTATTATTTTATTTATGTCGTCCATAAACTGAAACCATGTATGCACATATGGCTAATATTTTCTAGTGTTCACTGACATCCAGCCCATGTTACCACGGATGATGCTTCTAACCAGAGTAAAACTGATCTGAGTTGACAATATTAAAATTGTCAAATGTGGGGTACCAGTCTCCTAATCAAAAAGATGAAATTTTACTTTGGGAAGTACCATGATAATTACATAAGGTACTACTTGATTAGTGATATTCGCTTAGCTTAGGGAAATTGATTTACGTCGTGAAAATAGGTGTTAAACTGTATGATAGTTTACCTATTCAAATCATCACCCCTCCTTTTATAGAGCCAAAATGGAAGCAAAGTGGCTTGCAGAGGCTTCATTTGCATTTTGACTAGCGAATGGAGGACAGACGTTGTTGCACTTGTCGTTGTAAGTGAAATTTTAGACATAGTCAAAAAGTTGGCGTATCTGGGTAATTATGTGGGCACTGGTGGATGTGTGACTCATGCTGTACCAATCTGTTTATAGGAAACCAGAGTTCTATACTGAAATGTGGGGTGTATCTGGTTCTCTTGAGATGTTACACTGCTCCTCAAAAATCGAGTATATGGTGCAGCGATGTATGTGATTATGCTCCGTGCATTTTGAATCTGCTTATTTCAAGCTGAGGACACCCAGCAGCCTTTTGTTCAATTACCAACGTATTCTTGGGCTTACTTATATCTGCTGATGATACAGTGTATGCAGTTCTAAAGTCCTATGGTACATGTTCTAACAAAAGTGGAGATCAGATTTTGACAGTTGATATCATCACGACACTGTCTTGCTGATGTGTTACGTATGTTACTGTTTGCTATCTACTAAGCTTTGGAATAGTTGGAGAAGTGGAACGTCTTTAGGGTACGATTGATATCTGCGCTAATTTCGTATCTGTTTGTGCATCACAACCTCATAGGCGCGCTTCAACAGATTATGCGACTCAATGGTTTGAGACATTAGTAGATATCCTTCAAAATTGAAACAAACTATGTTTATGTCATGAAGTTTTTAATTTCAAATTTTGTGTTGTGTTGGTCTTCGTCTGCAAAGTATGTTTACGGTCCAAAGGGGTATTCTGTTTCTGCACAAATATAGAGGGCTACAGCCACTACTTAATGCTTAAGTCAGGAACTTAACAATAATTAATTGTAAATTATGCATCTGATGGTAGCCCACCTCTTCATTTATTCGTATATTTTGATTGGATCTGGTGAAACTATCTTTTTGAAAGTAAAGTGCCTTAGGTAATGTAAATACATTTTTAAATGTAGGATGTACTGGTAATTGATATTATATATATATATATATATATATATATATATATATATATATATATATATATATATATATACATTGACTTCTTGAATATTTATATACTTGAAAAGTGATTGTGTTTCGAATGAATTTACATATTCTTACAGTACTTGTTTGACAAACCGGTGATTTTTATGTTCGTTTTTGTGCTGTCCTTTGATTGAATCAGTAACTATCATAACAAGTGACACCAAACAGGTTATTCATTCAAATAATTCTAGCTCCAGCATATTCACTTAGTGAATTTACTTTGTTATCATATAGGTGTCTCTGGACCTATTGAGACTGATCCACCAATTTGTTTCGTTGATTTATGCCTACAACATTCATCATCCCAGTGTACTACTTATTGCTTACCATTGTCTGAAGAATATGAAACAGCCTTTGTCTACATCTGGAATTCATCGGACAGGAAGAATTCCGTTCTAAATATTGTTTCAGATGTATCCAACGAATCAACTTCATTAGCTATGCATGAATTCGCTGTTCTAAACTGTGTTGGAAATCTCGTGAAAATTAAATTGCACAATAACGTCAATTGTAAGTTATTTTCATTTTTTTAAAAATTATTGAACTAGATCTGAAATCAAATTTCATTTTAATAAATACTAATGACCTTAATATGATTATGAGCTATAAATTGTGCTCCAAACGTCATCAGTAAACACTAATGTATAACACTGAGACTTTTTCAAAACAAATTTTACCCATAATGGAATTATACCCAACCACAGTGCACAAGTTTTATTCTTATATCAATGAAGCAAACTTAGATTATATAACATAACATAACATAACATAACATAAGCTTTATTCCAAATCAGTACTTGTGATACAGAATGGAATTCTCAGCATTTTACTACAATATTGCATCCAGTTTTTTACATTAACAATAAATAAAGTTCTACATAGATTAAAGTTATCTCAACAACATATTAGTATGTCGGTAGTAAAGCCAAAATTAAAGTGTCTGAAGGTGTTAGAAAAGTAGATACTACTAGCATATTTACTGGCGTAAGCGATAGCAAAATGGTCGAGATATACAGAGTGTGAAAGAACGAACAAGAATGTTTTAAGTAGAGTTTGCAAGGAAGAGAGAAACAAAACAGCACATAACAAAAATAAGATACAGAATGAAGAGCGAGAAAACGTTGTACCTATAAATGATGTGAGTTGGAAAGACGAGATCCATTGGTTCTACTGACTATTTAATAAGTTAAAGGTTTCATGCCTGATGCAGTCTTCATCGCACAGAACACGGGCTAGGTAGGGTATGGATGATAAATAAAGTAAGTAACGAAATCATGTGGCCATTTCTAATGTTCAAACTCAACCATTATTTATTATAATGAAGGTTTTTGTAGTTCCCAATGAATTAAAAACAAAACGATATTGTTTTTACTGACGTCTCAGAAAAATTTCAGGAATCATAAAGAACATCTAGTATCAGAAGCACTTCATATCAAATGGAATCCAAATTGTCTGAATAGGAATAGTGGACTAAAACAGAATTTAACCTGGTTACAACACCTCCCTCCCCATGAAATGACAAAATCAATACAAATATGATAATCAACTCCATTATGTAAACACATGCTGCTTTTATAATTTTATACACTTATCAAATCCAGTAATCTACACTTGGTTTTGTTTACCAGTTGGCCAAATTGACAACGCGAAAATAACCGCATGCTGAGGAAAGATGATTAAGTTGTTATATATAAGCTAAGATTTAGTAAATTCTAGTTTAATAATACTTTGATACACCTATGGGCATTAAATATCAAAGAGTCAGTACAAACTATCGTTTTCATTCAATAGGAAATACAAAAAAACTTTTATTATAATGAATATCATATTCCCAATGCCCAAACTTTTTAAAACTAGAAGTTAATTTGTGGGTGAGGACTGACATTGGAATCCAGGATGCGCATTTCGTCCTATTTGGGACTCTTCATCAGCTGGATGTGCTTGCATTCCCTAGTCAGTGGTGGAGTTCCCACCGAGGCTCGAGTCCAGTGCCAAAGTGGTCTAGTGGGTAACGCTTTGGCGTTTGAAAGTATGGGCACTGGGTTTGAGCCTCGTTGGGAACATCATCACTCACTGAGAAATGCAGGTACATCCGTCTGACGAGTCCCAAATAGGACGAAGTGTGCATCCTGGATTCCAATGTTAGTCACCATCCACCAATTAAATACCAAGATTGAAGTATGCAATTATAGCACGATATAATATTGACAATACAGATACAGCTAACAGTACGAATAAAGTTAATATTTGCAGTTATCCGGTGTCGCCGGGAGAGATAACTACTTTAGATCAAGGGTGAAAGCCATGGGGGGAGAGGGACTGAACACATTTTTTCTGAACGTAAGGATTAAATTGAGGATTTCTTGTGGAAACTGTCTCATCTATGCTTAACAATCGAAGGTGTACAAACCTAGAGAATTGAGGTGGCACCTTATACAGAATTGTTAAGGCTGAATTTTTATCAGTGCTGTTCTCCATATCCACTAGGTTTGTCAATACGGAACTCCTAACTGACTTTATGACTCCTTTTCCTTACTACGTTAGACAACATTCAAGAAGGCCACGGTAGCCTTGCCAAGTCGTTCCACGCATATAACTATCTCCGCAAGAATAGTTGAATTTATAAGTGCACACTAAAATGGTCAGACTCATACAACTGTCGTAAACGGCCAAACTGTGGATTACTCTAAGATCCTGTTTCTGTCCATTCTTTAGTGTTTATATCTTATTACTAGCAAATTTGTGAAGTGGCTTACAAGGCTTCCATTTTGTCAGTTGTTGTAGATACATATTTGTGCTCCAGAACGCTTTTGGCATTTGAAAAGTGTGATGTATGTGGAATTTTTTCAAACCAGGTGTAACATACGTATAATATATATATATATATATATATATATATATATATATTCGTATTTAACTTACAGCAATTAACTTTCCTTCGCATAGCATTTCAAATAAAAATTCATTACAAAACTGTATCAGCTAGACAACCACTAAAAACCATACAGCACTGAATAATTGTTTCTTCAAAGCTTGGGACTCCTCTACCGTATACACCCATATCTCCACGAGGAATCAATCCTAAGTCCTTCAGGCTACGAGGCGACCAGGTCGCCATTCTCCCACTGTCCTGCTATGCAATAACGCATGAGTTATTTCAGTCAGGTGCGTCAGTGGCACAGTGGTTGGGACGAACGCCGACCATTCACATGGTCCGGGGGTCGATCCCCGGCCGACTCACTCCTTTACCTCGCTAAGCCAGAAATAATGCTGGTAAAGAGGAAAGGTTGGGCATGAGGCTAGCAACCCCATCCTGTAAAACTTAAACACTGCTACAGAAACTTCAAGCCACTAGCTTGGAGCCCTATGTTCCAGTGGGAACGTGAAGGGAAGATTTTTTATTTCAATCTGCGTTATCGCGCCACTGCCATCCCGGGTAGGGCTACCAACGCGTGCTGCTGAGGAGTGCTAGATGTGGACGAAAATCGATCCATAACATCATAGTTTTCAATGTTTACCTAAATAATCGTGGTTCGCCTTTAAGTCTACCTTGAAATTAATCAGATCCCTGCAAAAGAGTATTTAAAATTAAAGTATTTCTTACTTTCGTTTAAATTTTCAGTTTGTCGTGTAATTATTTTAGCTGGAAAACAGATCGAGTTACCTAATTCGTCCAATTTTGCACAAAACGCTTTTGTAAGTCTTTTATTCCTAGTTAGCGCTAAATTTTATCGCCTATTTTTAATTTTTTTATTGGTTACTTGACTACTCCCAACTTGAGAGTATTTTCTGTAGTTTCCGTTTTGAATATCCAAGCCATGGAACTAATAGTTCTTAAGGATACAATTGGTGGACGGTGGCTAGCAGTGGAATCCAGGATGCACATTTCGTCCTATTTGGGACTCGTCAACCGGATGTACCTGCATTTCTCAGTGAGTGATGGTGTTACCACTGAGGCTCGAACCCAGTGCCCATAGTTTCAAACGCCAAAGCGTTATCCACTAGACCACTTGGGCCACGAGAGCCACCTCTTGTGCAACTGGTCACATTAATTATTGAATTGAATTTTTGATTTTCCCGTCGATTGATTGGACCGAAGTGCTCGGTCTCAGGTTGACATGTCGGCTTCTTGTGCAGATGCTTCAACGGGAAAATCAAAAATTCAATTCAATAATTAATATGACCAGTTGCACAAGAGGTGGCTCTCGTGGCCCAAGTGGTCTAGTGGATAACGCTTTGGCGTTTGAAACTATGGGCACTGGGTTCGAGCCTCAGTGGTAACATCATCACTCACTGAGAAATGCAGGTACATCCAGCTGACGAGTCCCAAATAGGACGAAACGTGCATCCTGGATTCCACTGCTAGCCACCATCCACCAATTGTATACTAATTTAATGCCCAGACATCGTCGAAGCATCTGCACAAGAAGCCAACATGTCAACCTGGGAGCGAGCACTTCGGTCCAATCAATCGACGGGAAAATCAAAAATTCGGTTCAATAATTAACAGTTATTTACATCAAAAAATATAACTCTGGATTAGTGTCATGCTTCTTTGTATAATCACATTTACCTATTCCAAATGTGTTACTTTCCCAGTTGATGTCATCCACTGAAGTTGTCATTTATGTTTCACACAACATAGTCACAGTTAAAAGTTTTCCAACTTTTAAAATGTCTACCATCTTCTACCTGATACTCTTGGATTTGATCTTATGGTGTGTTTACTAGTTGAAACTTCTCTAATTTGAGCTTGGTTCGAACACGTGAGCCACTAGATGAAAGTCCAAGCCTACACTAATGAGTCACATTTCTAAAATTATTCCACTACACATGAATGATGCTACAAAGATAAAAGTGGAATGAAGTAGATGGTTGGAGGTAATGGGCCACAGGAAGCCTTAAACCTAGGTTTCGTGCTAGTTGGCACTCACCAGTCAGCAAGGCGTATCTGCAACCTTGAAGGAACTCATGTCCCTTCTGGGATTCGAACCCGCGTCACCCAGTGCTCCAGTCAGATACGTTACCACTGAGCTATTCGGGCTCGCGATTGACATCCTGTAGGACTGTAGTGGATACTTTGATTGGACACTAGTAACTAGTGTGAAGTATAAACTTATCTCGTATCCACAGTGTCTTTGTTTTAGCTCTCTGAGCCATGAGTATGATTTAGGATATTTAAGCAAACTTACCTTACTGACAATGGATTTATATGCTCCTCTCACACACGTGAACTGTAATTTCATCGATCTTACTGAAGAAATCGATAGTATTTAAAAGCGTTGTTAATGACGACTATCCTTGAATGTTCTGTGTATATAAACGTATATACAATTGCAGAGTCAGAAGAGGAAGTTATCGAAAAGGGTATTTTTTTTGCTCATTTTTTTTATTTCTTCTAAATATTTCAAAATGTTACTCATTGATTTCTATGTTATTCAAGTTACCTTTTATTTTTCGTTTCTTGTATTATAGTACGAATTCAGTGATCCAGATGCACGAAAAGAGATTTTGCCAAATAGTGAAGAAAATGACAAACACCGACCTTATAGTTTGTGTTTTATTTAATTTCAAGTGTGATTGGTATACTTGTCTCCGTATTACTAGTGTGTACATTGCAGATCTTACTATCCTCTCCTTTTTATTCATTAAAATTGTAGTAATAATTATTTGTACAGAAAGATTTAAATATACATGTAATTTATGGTTCAAATGATTGTTTTCCACGTCTACACGTCTTGTTTCATCGTTGATATTTGTGTTTGTCATGCGTTTGACCAACACTGTTGAAGTTGTTTCAGACTCTGTTACAGTGTTTTGTATTGTTTGAGTAAGAGAATTCAATGATGTGGAAGTGAGATCTAATCTTTGCCACTATAGGCAATAACAAAGTGCTTTAGCCCTGTGTATTTTGTTTATTTAATTAATGTCAGTTACTGTTTTTTTTGGACAGTTTCATTTTAGACAGATTGTTAGTTGACAGTAACTATTTTTTTTTTACTCATAACATAGCATGACTACGATCAAATAGTGTGAAAGAGGTTTTTGTGTGAGTAAATTGTTACTAGATTACGGTTTAAACCATTTGTTTTTATGATTATGTGCGTAAATATAACAGTAAGTTAATGGTTAGATGTCAAAGCTCTATAATTGTGTATATTATTATGTACATAGATGTTCTGAACCGTAATCTAGTAATAGTTCACTCATATACACCTCCCTCAACTTATTTGATCGTAATAATTCGATGGTATAAAACGTGATTGTTGTTAATATCAACTATTCCATAACTGGTATAATTATTTCACGAATTGATCACGGATTGATATCAGTTAGAGAACCATTGAAAACAAGCAGGGAGTACTGGACAGCTGTTTCATCCTAGTTTGGGAATCATCGGCAGTACGCACCCACTACACCAGGGTTCGAACCCAGGACCTTCCGATTACAAGGCAAGCTCGTATACCATTCAGCCACTGGGACCCGACCTACTCAATGTCCAGCCAGCCCATGAATTCTAACTTCTACCAATTCGTGATTTGGCGCGACTGCCACCAACCAATGTCGTCGGTGGGACATCTCTCCTCACACGTGATGTCTAGATGGACCTTACTGGTCACGACTTCTCACTAGAACTTCAGGAAACTCCATTCTGTAGCAAGTCAATAGCGAGCATCAGATTAATTTTCTATAGTTGGTTTGTCCCACCGACCACATTGGTTGGGGTGGCGCTAAGTCACGAATTAATAAAAGTTAGAATTCATGAGCCATTAAATCGGGTCCCAGTGGCTGAATGGTATACGAGCTTGCCTCGTAACCAGGAGGTCCTGGGTTTGGAACCCTGACAGTGGGTGCGTACTGCCGATGATTGTCAAACTAGGATGAAATACCTGTCCAGTAATCTCTGGTTTACAATGGTTGTCTAACTGATATCAATTAATGATCAACTTGTTAAAACAAAACTAATCCTTACAAACCAACTATGGAAAATAATCATTTTACTATGGAAATTGAATCAGAGGTAATCGAATTGAATTCTTTTTGGTCATTAATCAGTGTTTTAATTCGTGATGGATATTATCAGACAGTGAAATTGTTAATCTCTTTATTTGTCAATTGTTGGTTCAACCTACTGTGTTGATCAGTTTATTGAGTACTGCTATTGTTCAGACTTTCACCTGTTTATTTGTCCTTAAACGATTATGCTTATGGCCTATTGTTGTTTACCTACCTAAATTATCTTGTTATCAACGGCTTGAGATATTTTTAATCATTGTTTCTATTATTTTATTCCTTTACGTTCCCAGTGGAACATAAAGCATCAAGTTAGAGCTCTATAGTGGTTTCTATTTTTATTGAGTGGGGTTGATAGCCTCCTGCCCAACCTTCCCTCTCTACCGGTCCCATTACCGACTTAGCGATGTTTAAGAGTTTGTCGGCTGGCAGTTGAACCCTGGACCACATGTGTGGTTAAAGAACAGTCTACTGATGAAGGTTAGATTAATGTCTATAGCCATTTCCTTAGCATAATATAAGGCAATTAGATTTGCTTAAATTGCATTGACGGGATATTTGAACAAGCATGTGTGGATGAAATATTTTGAAATTGAAACAGATCATAGATTCTGCAAAAACACCTTTTGTAGCAGCATCGTATTGCTTTAATTCTAAACAAACTTCAAAAATGCTAAAATATTCCAGTGAAAGGCGATATTTGCAGTAAGTGATAATGGAATGTTATTCAGTTTTCTGAGGGTTATTTCAATCGTAAACTTATTAATGAAGTAGCGAAATTTAGTATTTACTTGATCCGTATCTTTTGCAGAATGCTAAAGTAGTTAGTGCATGGATGTGGTTTCTGTAAATGTTTTCCCTCTAATAGAGATAAACAAGCTTGCATATGTCATAAAATGCTTTTGATAGTCATTAAAGCATGTATAAGTGAAAATCACAAGTTAACATGATTATTTAAAAAAAAACTAGTCGATCGATCGATTTCAGTGACCGAATTTGTAGTGGTTAGAAATCACCGGAAAGTTCAACATTTGCATAAATCTTCTTCTGTTTGATGAAATTGGACGTAGTTTAGAGTAAAAATGTTCACTAAATAGCTTCTGACAAACAACAAAGCTATGAATCTAACTCAGAAACTCCGTATGTGTTCTTGTATTGTGAAACTTATAATACTATTAACTAGATGGTGTAAGGTGGAACGTGGTGTGAACCCTTTAAGCTAATGCGTGGAAGTCAAGTGCTTAGACAGGTGAATCAGACCAGAAACGCTGAAACCGAAATACTCTAAAACAATTTTTTTATATATGAATTTTGTAAGGTGGGGTAAAAGACACTTTACTTACGGAACTAAAATCTGTCGAAAAATAAGATTTTCTTTACGATACTGATTTAAGGTTTAGATTTTCAAAAAGCGACTGATTATGTGGATTGCTTTTTAGTTATTCATATTTGTGATATAAGAGACATTGTGTTTAGAAAATTGATTGAACACTGCTGAAGAGTCCCAAACTAGGACGAAACAGCTGTACAGTACTCCCAGGTTTTCCAATGGTTCTCTAACCAATGTCAGCTCATGATGAAATCCTGTGAACACTGAACAGTTAGAACACTTGGTCAAATATTCCTCTGTTGGTCATGTGTTTGCGTCCACTGATCTTTTTACGGCGTTTCGCAGTGATCCTAGTTATTCGAAATACCAAAGGCATATTGTAATATAAGGTGGAATTATTAGATAGTCGGAGGCAATCGGCAGGAAGCTTTGGACCTAGGTTTCGTGCTAGTTAGCCCTGACTGATAGAATTCAGTCTGCACTAAAGAAAAGACTAAACACTAGTTACTACTGTCCAATCAAAAAAGGTGGAATTAATTTATGTTTGGATAAACGGGTGGAACACAGAGTAAGCGTCTTTAGTTAAAATCAATAAAAAATTGTGAAACTACTGAAAATTTATAACAGTATTGTGTCTAACGTGTTTATGATTGTCTTTTATCTAATATAAGGGCTATTTTTGTTGTATTCATCGTTTCAGGATACAATAATTTTAAAGTTATTGCCAGCTATCCCAAGAATATTTAGCGGTCTTTCTTTAGTTGGAATAATATTTGGCTTGTATCATTACATCTGTGGGACGCATTCACCCTTTTTTGTACAGTATAGTTTACTCTATGGCAAGGTGAAACCTGCATATTGTGAAGCTTTCGAGTGTTTAAGAGTTCCTAAAAGGTAAATTGTAGTTTTCATTACTTTTCAGCTAATCATTTGTACCTATGGATAAATTTTACAGATGTCCTAATAAGTTCAAAATATAATTTCAGAGTTTAATATTAAAGTTTTAATTGTTCAATCACAGAATCAAATACTCTGCCTCCATCAACCATTGTAAACTACTTTTTTTCTTTCACGTTCCCGGTGGAACATAGGGCTTCAAGCTAGTGGCTTGAAGTTTCTGTAGGAGTGTTTATTTTTACAGGATGGGGTTGCTAGCCTCATGCCCAACCTTTCCTCTTTACCAGCATTATTTCTGACTTAGTGAGGTAAAGGAGTGCGTCGGTGGAGGATCGATCCCCGGACCGTGTGCATGGTCGGTGAGCGTCCTAACCGCTGTGCCACCGTTGCACGTAAACTACTTTGCTTACCTTAAGTAGGAAAGATCAGCTAAATGCAGGTAAGCGTTGTCAGTGCAGTAGATTGAATCAGCAAACAATATGACCATTGATGTAATAACTTGTACATTTCTCTGAAAATGTCTAGAACAGGACATCAGTCATTCAATTCCCATATAAATTAACCTCCTTAGTGAACGGTCACCTCAGCTCGACACATGTGGAATAGTCGCTTCCTATTCGGATTCCACTCGAGAACCTGACCTGTTGCATCACTCGGAGGCTTTTTCATCGTGCATCCAATCTACCTTCATATCCTTCTGCGTATTTATTGAGTAGTGAATTCATAGCTGATTCGTTGTCAGAGTTCCTTGTTGCTTATCTGATCTTCCGTAAAAGCAATTAAATGCTGAAAACCTCTACAGTGATTTCAGAGTTATGGATTTAGCCTATTTCTGGTAAGTCGTCTCATCCAAATGCATCGTTTAATCTTTACAAGACAATTGCGCTTAGTACTCTGCTTTGTGGCCTTAAAGACCCGCTTTTGTTGGTGGATTCTTGTTCACTGGCATTTCTCAGAAGGTTATAGATGATGGTCAACTGAAGTACCTTTTAAAATGATTTCCTCAGCTCCAACTCATCGGTACTTGGATTTACTTAACTATCCTTCACTGGCCCCTTCTGTGCTGTTGTCTTTGCAGATAGAGATCTGTTTATTTGATACTGTATTGGGAAGTCTGTTTTACCTTCACCCTGTTCTACTTCAGTTACCAGTGCGTCGTAAAGAAGTAGATTTGTTTATCCTAGTACTCTCCTTCACTCCTTTTTTAAGCGCTTTGTAGGTTATACTAATCTTTTTTCAGTGTTTGTCTTTTGCTTCACTATCCTTCTATCTTCAGTTAGCTTTCAGGTCTCCGTCTTGAAGTATACCTTGTCTTGCTTAAGATGCCTATGCTGCTTTCATGGAGTTCTAGTGACTAAAAAGCATTAGATTAACATTTAGAATTCGGCTTTGTGGCTATTTAATTGGCTCCAAGCAACATTTCGCCTCTTTTGCTACACTGAGAACCAATTTTGAAGTTAAAATTCACAAATTTTCCTGGGATCGCCTATGCTTTTTGTCAATGTACCTTACTTTACAATAGTTCCCTCATTTATTTCCATCCATGATGAAGTTCACCTTGAAATCAATCGAATTTCTACAAACCCAGAATTTAAAATGAAAACTGATAAATCACATTAATTTTATGCGGAGAAAATAATTTGTTTCAGAGTCTTTAAATTTCATATCAATTTCATATTTTCAGGTGGTTTAAATACTTTTACGTCACCGGTGTATGTTTTACTTGTTTTGCCCTACTGATTGAACTTTTCGTGATATGTAAGTCAACTAGATTTTTTTTCTATAGTTGGTTTGTAAGGATTATTTTTGTTTCTACGAGTTGATCACAGATTGATATCAGTTAGAGAACCACTGAAAACAAGCAGGGAGTACTGGACAGCAGTTTGGGAATCATCGGCAATACGCACCCACTGGGTGAGGATGGATGGTCCACCGACGACATTGGTTGGGATCGCGCTAAATCACGAATTGATAGAAGTTAGAATTCATGCGCTGGCCATTAAATCAGCTCCCAGTGGCTGAATGGTATACGAGTTTGCCTTATAACCGGAAGGCCCTGGGTTCGAACCCCAGCGGGTACGTACTGCTGATGAATCCCAAGAAAGCTGATAAGACAGCTGTCTGGCTGTACTTTCTGTGGCTGGTCTTCAACGGTTCCCTAACTGATATCAATCTGCGATCAACTCATATTTTTTTTTATTTAATTGTTTTATTTTATCGTAGTTTAGTTTTGATATGTGTTGTTACGTAGTGAATTTATTGATCTTGGAGGTATATGACTGATCTGCTTAAGCAGTCGGCTAACTCATTTTCAATATTAGGTCGTTCAAATGCAGTTTGACGAAAAGGCCGTTTTCGGCGAATTCATTTTCTTTAGCTGTACAATCGTATTCGTGTGCAATATATTTCAGAAAAGGAATCGGCACACGAGGGGCGATTCGTCATAATGATAATTACTGATATTAATCAAGTCGATAGAAAACATTATGGTCATCAGTAGAATGATAGAAGTGAATTAGTTCTCTTGTGTATACAGAACTTTTGTTTCTCTACATGAGAGGATAGCTAGAATTTCAGAAATTTGAGAACAGATTCTTGATCTTAAGTTTGGACAGCTTTCACTCCTCATTATATTCAGAGCGTGGTAATATCAAACCGCAAGAGAAGAAGAAAATGCAGTGTTTCTCGAAAAACGTACTTTTCATGTGATTAGTTGAATAGTTTGATTTTTAAGCATTTGTCACCATCAAGTTAACAGTAACTGCTCTTACTTCATTTTGATTTTCAGGTAGATACGTTTTTAAGTGATATACTGTTATGTGTGTAGTGTTTTGGAGGAAGAAAACAGCCATAGTTTCTACTCACCACTCACCTAGTGTTGTTTTTCTTTTTTTATTGACTTCAGCATCGCATAAAACTATTGTCTGTATGTTAACCCTATATCTGATACATGTTTCACGTCGATTGTATGAATGTACACATGTTTCTATATTCAGCAATTCTCTAATGAGTTTTATGCAATTCTTGGTTGGAATCGCCTTCTATATTGCTGCTCCTATAGGAATTTCACTTTCACGAAGTCATGCAGGTAATTCAAACGGGGTTTGTTTTCAATTGGCGAAAAAATATAAGTATCTGTTTGTAAATTTAATGATTTTTATTGCTGAGCAATTCACATTTTTAAAATGAGATGTGAATAGTAAACCGGCTGATGTTTAATGTGCACGGACATATAATGGGATTGTGACAAGCTGCCCTCTGAAACTGTTGATGTGAATACTCAGTTATTTTTTCGGTGTTCAGTTGCTTGTCTTTCAACAAACTATCACACTGTTCTATTATTATATTCTATAAGTCTTAAGCTCCATAAATCTACAGTCTGTATAATCTTATACTTAAACAATCCACCTAAGCAGTTATCCAGGATTCTGGTGGTTTAAACTGATCCGGTTCTCTGAGCTGTGTTGAACTGGGCACACGACTGATGAGCGCAGCTGCAAACGAATGAAGTGGTGTTCATATCCCACTGTGATCTACCTAGCAAGCAGCACTGGTTGCTATGACTGGTATCCAACTACTCATTTCAGTTCATCAGTAGTAGCTTATGTCGTCACGCATTTACAATTGTTCTCTTAATTGCCATTTATGCTATCAAACAGATCTGTGCTCTGAATAATGTCGGTTTCCGGAGGGAAATTGTAGTGAAATTTCATCTTAAAATGTGTACATTATGAATTTAATTTACCATACAAACTTTATTAATGATTTAATCTGTGGACGGTGACTAGCATTGGGGTCCAGGATGCGTATTTCGTCCTATTTGGGACTCTTCATCAGCTGGACGTACCTGCATTCCCCAATCAGTGGTGGTGTCCCCACCGAGGCTCGGATCCAGTGCTCTTAGTTTCAAACGCCAAAGCGTTATCCACTAGACCACTTGGGCCACGAGAGCCACCTCTTGTACAGCTGGTCATATTAATTATTTAATTCAATTTAGATTTTCCCGTCGATTGATTGGACCGAAGTGCTCGGTCTCAGGTTGACATGTCGGCTTCTTGTGCAGATGCTTCGACGATGTCGTGGCCCAAGTGGTCTAGTGGATAACGCTTTGGCGTTTGAAACTATGGGCACTCGGTTCAAGCCTCGGTAGGAATACCATCACTCACTGGGAAATGCAGGTACATCCAGATGACGAGTCCCGAATAGGACGAAATGCGCATCCTGGATTCCACTGCTAGTCACCATCGACAGATTAAATGCTAATTCAATGCCCAGACACCGTCGAAGCATCTGCATAAGAAGCCGACATATCAACCTGGGACCGAGCACTTCAGTCCAAGCAATCGACGGGAAAATCTTAAATTTAATTAAATTTATTATTGATTATTCGAATTAGACGCCTAAGTGTGTTGCTTAACATCTGATAGAAATTTCGCTTTGCTGTATTTCATATAAATTATAATGTACAATCTCATTGTGTCAACAAGTAAAACTTTTCAATCTAATCAACTATATTATTATTAATAAAGCAACTCCATCTTACTAATCGATAAACTGTTTGTGTGTTTTGTGTAATACATAGCAGCAGAATTATGTAGTTTCGTGACTGATTCGAATAATTAGTTTGTTTTGCCTACTCATTTTCTGTTGACCCTGTGTTTTTATATCTTACCGATTCATTTATTGCCTTTCAGTTGAACGATCAAATTTAATCATTGTATTATTCAGTCTACACATACTGGTACTTCAGTATTTACAAGATTTGGTCTTCCAGCAATTGGCTGCTTTGCGTACAAATAAAAATGAAAACACAGGTGGGATATATTGTATTATTCGTAAATCCTGACATAGTATCATTTTATGCTTAAGTTGAACACTTTGTAAACGCATTTAGCAATAAATGTCAGTAATCAGTTTTAACATTTATCCATTTTATCTATTAAAAATATATATATGAAACACAGCAAACTGGTTTCAAACATTGGAAGAGCAGAAAGAAGGGTCCACGTCAGATTCTTCGAACTTGTACCAAGGAGTTTCCGGTTAAAGGGGTCAAGTAGTTTAAGCCCTCCAATTACCAAACACCTGATTGACACTGGACACCGAGTAGATGCACTGGCATCATTCAAAATAAACTAAACATCTCAAGCCTTCTCCGATTCGCTGAAGCTATCGCAATAAAACATCTGAAACCTGTCCAAAAGGAATCTGTCGTTGGATTTCAATTACCCCCCGGTGACTCATCCACTAATAGCTCTTGGTCTTTTAACCTCATTAACGTATCTTTTCAACGCTCCCCCCCCCTCGCCTCGTTTCTTCTATTTAACCTCCATAAGAGGCCATTTTTCATGACCTTATGAGTTCCACTCACTATACTGCATTATCATCTTTCCATCTGACCTCTTCCACAGCAAAGTTTGACCATTTCTTATCTAATTATATAGTTGTTACTAATTTTTTGTTACCACCCGAACAACTAACTTGACAAATAATTTTCTATAAACTTCTCTCGAACAAGATATATATATATATATATTTATGTATACTTACACCTCAGTTACCTTGTTATCTAGATGTTTTACCTCTCCATGACACTTATAATATGCTCTAAAATGTATGCAGCTTATGAGAGCCAACGAAATAAAATAGATCCATGCTGTTCTGCGTGCATCGGTGGCACAGTGGTTAGGACGCTCGCTGACCATGCACATGGTCTGAGGTTCGATCCCCAGCCGACTCACTGCTTTACCTCACTAAGCCGGTAGTAGGGTGGGCAAAGAGGGGAGGTTGGGCATAGGGCTAGCAACCCCATCCCGTAAAAGTAAACACCACTGCCACTGAAACTTCAAGCCTCCAGCTTGAAGCCCTATGTCCCACTGGGAACTCAGAAAGAATTTTTTAAAAAGTGTTATTCTGCACCAATGTGTTGTTCTGTTTTTGCTCAAACTGGTTTCTGTTTCGCAGTCAAAAGATGCTTTCGGCTACTGGATAAAAATCTCTTCTATCTTGGAGAAGATAAAAGGCAGTTCAGCGGAGAAAATATTTTAGTGACAAAATCATCTTCAGAGGCGTCGTACAATCGTACTTATGTTAACTACAAACGTATATCTCCTCTCTGTCATTTACTGTTCATCGATATTAGTGCGGTTAAATTTAATTCAGTTTTAGGTTTTCCCGTCGATTGATAGGACCGAAGCGCTCGGTCTCAGTTTAACATTTCGACTCCTTCTCCAGATGCTTCTATGACGTCTAATCATGTAACTTGAAGTCAATTGGCGTATGATGACTAGCAGTGGAATCCAGGATACACATTTCATCCTATTTTAGAATGCAGGTACATCCAGATGACGAGTCCCTAATAGGACAAAATGGCTATCCTGGATTCCAGTGCTAGTCACCATCCACCAATTGAATGTGTTTAAGTGTTTCAATAGGAATTGAGTTGTTTAATTGATTAAAACAAAGTTTTCTACACTTTATTAATATTTTTAACGTTCACAGATTTTAATAATTCGAAAGCATTCGTGTAGACGATTCCAAGACAACTGACTTCGTAAAGAAATCTATTCTTTCTTAGAATAGTTCCTTATGAATAGCTCTGCAGTATCTAGTCTCTTAAAATAAAACATCAGAATTATATTAGTCAAATTGTGGCATATTAGTTAGAAAGAGGTCATTATTTTATCAGTGTATTTTAAAATTGTCACATGTAATTACTGAAATTAAGTGAACATTTAAAGGATAAAACTATTCAATGTAATTATAAAGTTAATTTGTAGAAAATTACAACCTGATCGGTAGTTTTTAAAATAAGGATAATTAAGGAAAATGAATGTATGAGTCTTGTTAAGTTGTCAATTGTTAATGATTGTACAAGAATGCGTAATGATAAAGAGAATGTGTGAACTAACCAATTCACAACAATTCAAAGTGCACCGTCATCGTAAGCCACCTAGAATTGTGACCGTATTGCAAACTTGACTGATAGAATTCAGTGTGCACCAAACAAAGGACTAGACACAATACACCAGTTACTGACTAGTATTCTTTCAATGTATCCAATACAGTCCTACAGGAGGTCAATCGTGTACTCCACTAGCTCATTGGTAGCGTCTCTGACTGCAGCTCTGGATGACGCGGGTTCAAACCTCAGAAGGGACATGAGTTCCTCAAGGTTACATATCTGCCTTTCTGAACAAAGCCAACTGACACAAAACCTAGCTGGAAGTCTTCCTGTCGACTACCTCCAACCATGTAATATCAACACTTTAAGTTTGTTCATATTCTCCAGATAGATTTCGTTTGCAAACTATGACTGTTTATTCAAGTGTTGGTTTGTAGGGATTTGATTAGTTTACAGGATTTCATCATGAGCTGACATTAGTTAGAGAACCGTTGGAAAGCCTGAGAGTACTAGACAGCTGTTTCGTCCTAGTTTTGGACTCTTCATCAGTACGCATCCACCGGGACTCGAACCCAGGACCTTCTGGTTACAAGGCGAGTTCGTTTACCATTAAGCCACTGGGACCCGATCCAATGACCCATGAATTCTAATTTCTGTCAATTCGCGACATAGCAGCAGGTCGGGTGTGAGGACAAATACTCGCCGAAGACATTGGCTAGGGGTCGCGCTATGTGGTGAATTGACAGAAATTAGAATTCATGGGCCATTGGATCGGGTCCCAGTGGCTTAATGGTATACGAGCTCGCCTTGAAACCAGAAGGTCCTGGGTTCGAGTCCCGGTGGGTGCGTACTGATGAAGAGTCTCAAACTAGGACGAAACAGCTGTCTAGTACTCTCAGGCTTTCCAATAGTTCTCTAACTAATGTCAGCTCATGATGAAATCCTATAACTGTTTTTTAGTAATCCTAATAAGTGCTTTTTAAATAAGTTTGTAATTTTTATGTCTCTTGATTATCTTTGTATTTCAGATAAGCTAATTGAAAACAAGTATTATCCACCCGAAGGGAGTATGTTTTATTGGGTATCATGTCCGCATTATATACTAGAAATATCTCTCTATTTGTCATGGCAAGTTTTTCTTACACCAAAGTGGATACCATTTTCACATATTTTATTTTTTACAACATTCAGTCAATTATTTTCTATTTGGGCTAATCATAACTGGTATAAAAAGAATTTTCCTGAATGGGCATCAAAACGTGCTATGCTAATCCCATATGTTTTGTGAATATGAATTATTTTGTTTTTTGTTGTTTTTTGCGGGGAGCATATGTACACTCCACTTTTGAAATTTTCTATTGATTATGTATGATTCCTTAGACTGTATAAAGAAAAAAAGAAACTGCTGCATATCATTACTGATTCAGTTATAAACTAATTTTTAATTGTTAAATATTTTTTGTATTTGTTTCAACTTTGCAAACATATTTCACTTGTAGGACGTGTAGTTTTTGTGTTGATAGATATCTGTAAAGTGCCTTGAAAAAGTTTGTCAATTTAGTTCATTTTCTTATTAGTCATGTTTTCACATATGTAATAAAAAAAAATATAATTTCACTACACATAAGTATTTCATATTTTGTTATTTGCTCAGGTTGAGTTGTGTTATTTCTTGGTTCTAATGTTTCTTGTATAGCTTCTGGTGGAAAAATTCCTACTATACAATTGGAAATTAAAAGTGTGCTTGTATGCTGGTGACGGATTCGTGAAAACAGGCTTACTTATCGGCGTCCAGCAATTGCTATATTTCTTGAACTGAAAGCGCCATTCGATTCCATAGATCGAGAAGCAATACGGAAATGTTTAGCTGTGAAAGCAATGTCGAGAAGATGCACCACACTGATCAAGGCACTCTACTCAAAATCACACAGCTAGGTGAGAGCCTACAGATAGTTGTCATCTGAAATGGTGACAACCAGTAGTGTCCGTTGGGCATTCCCCCACTACCCCCATATTCTCTTTAATTTCATCACAGATGTATTAATGGATTTAACCCTAACTGACTTCAGTGACTCAGGGATTGACTTGTTATCAGGGAATAATAGTCTCGTGTGCTTGGAATATGCAGATGGTATAATCCTTCCTCCTAGGTGAAGACACTGACAAAATACAGTCTTCTGAACACCTTCAGGAGCAGTCTTTGAATTTTTGGCCTGCGATTCTCTCCTGTCAAATGTAAGATTGTGCCAGGGGATGGCTACATTGACTGCCAGCTTGAGGATAGGGAGTGGATCGGTAGAGCGCGTTGACCACTTCACTTATTTGGGGAGTTAAATCGGCCCCAGCGGTTTGATCTCAACACGAATACAGAAAGCTCGTTTGACACACGCCATCTCGTCTTAATGGATGTGATATCCGCCTGTCGACCAAAAGACGTATGTACTGCTCATGGGTTCGCTGTGTTCTTCTTAGAGGCTAAGACATGGCTATGGGAAGTGAAAGACATGAAAAGACTAGTCTTTGATCATAGGTGTCTGCGTTCTATCTCCCGTGACATAATGGGGTGAGCACTATTGAGGTTAGGCTGGGGGGAGGAAATCGATCGATCAGGTTGTGAAGTTACACTGATTGGGATGGTTAGGACATATGTTACGCATACCTAGTCGTTGCCTTCCTCGACGAGCGATGTTAGATGGCATGGAGTCAGGTTGGACAAGAGCTAGTGGTGGTCAAATCGAAACATGGCTTTACCAGTCAATGAGATCCACAACAGTTGGTTCAAGCCAGCCACGTAGGGAGGTGCAGACTGGCTTCTTGGTTAGGTTCTTCGGGATGGTGGGGACCAGTAGCTGGAGACAATTGCTGATATGGCTCAAAATCGTTGTGAATGGCGATGTAAGATGATGCTGGAGGACTGATCACCGCTGACTCCTAGTCTAAAGGTAGTGGAGGGGGTGTTCATTTGTTTGTGAATTCGTATCGACCTTAATGAACTTTTTGGTGACGAAATCTTAGCATGGATAAAAAGGTTGATGTGGCATTCGCTAACACACCTAATCTCTGTGGTGGATGTGTTACCTGTCTATCGGTCAGTGGACGTGTATACTGTGCACTAGCCCTCTTTTTCCTTGTTTATATATACGCTACATGGCCGTTTAAAGTAGAAAATATGAAAAGTTGAGCTGCGTTCTTTTTCCCTTGTTAAGGGGTATTATATGGTGAGTAATATTGAGGTTAAGTGTGGAGCGCATATCAGTCGATAGATTGGGAGTCTGCATTAAGTGAGATGGCTATAACACGTCCTGTGCACACCGTACCACCACCTCCTTGGATAATCAATGTTAGCTGACATAGGGATGGTTTGGAAAATGGTTAGTAGTTGGTTTGATAAAAAAATGGCACCAACTCATGAAGACTCTGACCGTTGGTCTGAGTGCACTCTTTGTAATCTCCCAAATACATTGGATCCTCATGTTTTTCAATACATTTATACTGTCCACTCTTCTTTCGGGTTTCTATTTGTCTCAACACTGGTGTGCTATAAAGAAAAGTGGCAGTTTGAACTGCTGCTCTTCTGTGCAAAGTTCTGCGCTGAAAACTCAGCGAATGCGTCAATGATCGAAACATCACACGATGGTGGAAACATGTCCAAGTGACTGATAGTAATGCAATCTTAAGATGTGACGTTGAATGTTTAGAATAAAGTCGCAATGTTTTACGAATGAGAAATCTACTTTTTTAATGCCTGAATGGTGTGTTCGACTCTGAACTTGTCAGAGAAGTATTAACTAAATGTTTAAGATCAGTGGCATCAAATCGAACTGGTCGCTAGGGTAATATAATCATAAATCAGCCAATGGTCCAAGGAAAACTGTCTCACCTTAAACCCCTCCAAATGGCAAACAGTTAATTTCACTTTTAGGCACAAATCTGACCTAAACAAACTGGTTAGAACTCACAAGTTGTGCAACACTGATGGCACTGAAATAGAAACCAAATCAGAAATTAAGTACCTAGGCGTCACTCTATCTGCAGATCTTTCCTATTCGTCTCATATCTTGACGATTTCTAAGAAAATATTCCGTCTTACCTTCTACATCAAGAAGTTAAAACATTCTGGTGTAACCCAACCCCTGCGATTCGCTCCCGCCAAATGCAAGATGATGTTACAGGACTGACTGGACTACATCGACGCCTAGTTTAAAAATAGGAAGTGAAGTGGTAGAGCATGTTGACCACTTCACTTATTTGGGAAGTACCATCAGCCCCAACGGGCTGATCTCTGACGAAATCTCAGCACGAATACAAGGAGCTCGTTTCGCATTTGCCACTTTACGCCGTCTCTGGCGTAGACGAGATGTTCGACTGTCGACCAAAGGGCGGGTGTACTTCTCATGAGTCCGCTCCGTCCTCCTGTATGGTTGTGAGACCTGGCCACTGAGAGTGGAAGACATGAAAAGACTAGCTGTCTTTGATCATAGGTGCCTGCGTTCTATTTCCCGTGTAAAGTGGCATAATAAGGTGAGCAATATGGAGGTTAGGTGTAGAGTTCTAGGTAAACAGGGGAAATCAATCGACGAAGTCGTGAAGCTACATCGACTGAGATGGTTAGGACATGTGTTACGTATGCCAAGTCATCGCCTCCCTCGACGAGCTATGTTAGCGGATATAGGATCAGGCTGGAAAAAAGCTAGCGGCGGTCAAACAAAAACTTGGCATCAGTCAATGAAATCCACAACAGTTGGTCTAAGCCACGTAGAAAGGTGTAGACTTCCAGGCTGGGGTCCTCGGGACGGTAAAAATCTATGGTTGGAAACAATTGGTGACATGGCTCAAAACCGTTCTCAGTGGCGCAGATGCATCCACTACCTGTGACTTATGATCTTCAATAAAACTGTTTTGTTGTTCTTTATTCTCCTTTGTCTCACACCTCTGCTCACTGTTTCTTTTATGCTTTTCTTGTACTTTCTTCTGTTGCTTCGCGTGCTACACGGAATGTGGCGACTTGAACTTCCGCACATTTGTGCAAAGTTCTATGTCGAAAACAGACAGACAGACAGAACCCAACCCCTACTCCTACAATTCGTTAACTCCCGTATTCTGCCTATTATTCTCTATTGTTCCCCCTTAGTTTTTCCAGGGCTACTGAAGAAAGACTATACCTTATTACACAGGCTGTTACAGGTTGTCAGCAGGGTAAGTAGTGTGCCACTTAGCCAGCTTGTTAATACTCTAGTGGACAGGCACATGGGCTCATGTGAAAAATGGGCGAAATTCATTTTATCTAACTCACAACACCCTCTTCATTCACCACTCTCCCCTTGTATCTCTTCAGGGAAACCAGAAGCCTATATAGGAAAGTATATGCCCGCACTGGTAAGTACAAAAACTCATCCATACCCTACTTAGCTCGTGTTCTGTGCGATAAAGAAAGCATTAGGCGTTGTCAATATAGTTGAAGATTGAACGATCAATTCATGGTTGTTTGCTCAAAACCAACTTCCCCAATTTTTGCGGAGGCATCAATACGACAGTCATCGTCTCATCGGTTGCTGTTCAGAAAGAAGTCAGGAGACAACCATCAGAAGTAATATTGTGATTTATTATTGTAATATTTGTTCACAGACCTTAGTGGAATTATTTTTTATATGTTGGTGTTACAATAAAGAATTATCGAGTCGCCAAACTGAGTTTTGGTTTTTGCGTCCGTTATTACTAAGCGTTTCTGAAAAACTTCAAGGGACAGCGTGAGCCCGAGCGTAGCAAGAGCTGGGCATTAACGGTTTACGAGACGTGACTGACAGTTTCTGACGATAGAAACAGATTCTGGTGAATTCAAACAGTTGGTGAAAGTTCGGATAGTCGCCGTTCATTTTTCCTGGTGCCGGTCAAGTCCTCTTTGATGAAGCAATATCTGGAACGGTTTTGGAATTAGGTCAAGTTCAACAATGCCTGGGTCAAAGAAGGGACAGAGTGTCTTGGATGCAAACAGGAAAGTAAGTCATGGTGACTTGTCTGTTAATTGTAACGATGTGTGTGATGCTAAGCATGATATGGTTGATGTTACTGTTTCGCCGTTCAGGGATAATAGGAATGTCAAACTCCCTAAATTTGAACCACGGTGTTTCGACGGAAACCCAGCTGATTATTTACAATTTGTAAAGGAGTTTGAGATCATGTTGAGTAGTTTTCTATTAAGCGATTAATTGAAGTTAGTGTATTTGATGAGATATTGCACTGGAGATGCTGCAAGAGCTATACAGTGCTGTAAGTTTATGAAGCCAAAAG